AAAAAAAAAAATGACCCTGGTGTGTTTTCTAGGAAGTTTCAAAGTGGTGGCCCAACTTTTGCAAGTTTGGTTTCCTAGACCACCACGATAAAGTGGCCTAAAATGACCTAACATGACCATGGTGTGTTTTCTAGGTCATTTTAACGTGGTGGCCTAGAAAACCAAACTTGCAAAAGTTAGGCCACCACTTTGAAATGACCTAAAAATGCCTTAACATGACCCTGGTGTGATTTCTAGGAAATTTCAAAGTGGTAGCCTAGAAAACCGAACTTGCAAAAGTTAGGCCACCACTTCAAGATGAATTCGTCTCGAACTATTCTTAGATTTCTTCTTTTCCAGATGGTTCCAACAAACTTCCCTCCCGCTACCGTACGCTCCCTGTTGAAGAGGAGAAGATCAGTTCAGACAACGAGGAAGACCTAAAAAAGAAATCATCGAGAAAATCAGAATCCCCGCACTCTCGATCCCTCTCCCCACGCTCTGGCTCCCCAGAATCTCCTCTCCGTCAAGTGTCTGCCAGTCCTCCGCCACCCCAAAACGATGCTCCACCATCTCGATCCTCAACAGAATCTCCGTTGGAGTCTCCAGAATCACCACAAGCTCCGCTCCCTCCACCACCGCCACCAGAAGATGACGTGGAGATGGCGATTCCACCGCCACCGGTACTATCAAAAGCTGAAACGCGGAAGCAGCTGAAACAACGATTGGCAACGATCAATAAGACACTGGTGGAGACGTCGCCGCCAACAGAAGCCGAAGCTGTTCAAACTTAATTTATTGATTTTTTGAAAAAAAAATTTTTTTTGCGAAAAACGGAAATTTTTGGAGATTTTTGAGCTGGAAATGGGGGCCTTTCCTTTTTGAAATTCGATTTAAAAAATTCCGGGAAAAGTGGGCGGAGCCTAAACTGTGCCGTGTGAAGCTAGAAATTGAAGCTCCGCCCATTTTTTCGGAATTTTTTTTCTAAAATTTCGAAAAATTTAGAAAATCTGAAAATCCAATAAAAATTCTGGAATTTTTGAAAATTCAAAATTTTCGGAAATTCTGAAATTTGGAAAGTTCGAGATTTTCGGGATTTTTACAAAAGTTGGAAAATTCTGATAATCTGGAATTTCGAATTTTCAAAAAAATCTGAAAAACTCATTTTTTGCCTTCAAATAATCTTCTAAAATTTCGAAATTTCCCCTGAAACCTGTCTAATTTGTTCACTGTAAAATTCATAATTTTTTCCTATTTTATCCCCCGAAATTTATAATTTTTCCGTTTTTTTTCTCTATTTTCCTGTCCTGTCCCTCTCCAATCGCTACGGTTTTTCCTTTAAAAAATAACATTGCTAAGCTATTATTCTGGTACCTAAAAATGGTCCCACAACGACAATTACAGTAACCTAAAAAATTTTATTTTGAGATTTAATTTTTTGAACTCGATTTTCGAGCGTTTTTAGTCGATTTTTCCGACTGTTTTAGGGGACAATTACAGAAAAATCTTGAAAAAAAGTGTTCTCGGTTACTGTATTTGACGTTGTGGGACCTTTCTTATACCAGAAAATTAACTGATTGTTTAGTTCTAATTAATTAACCCCTCAAACAAAAAATCACTTTCAAATCTCCATTTCTATGCCCTCCTAGCTCTCAAAAATTGCTCTTTTTTCTCTCTTTTCTAATCAAAAATAATTTAATTTTTTTTTGAAATCAAAATTTTCTAAAATCCAGTCGTCTCTACATTTTTTTGTAATAATTCATTTTTTTTGGCGAAATTTTTCTTGGTTTTTTGTGTCCTTAGAATCTGGTATAAAATGGATTTAAAATTGGGATTTAAAATTGAAAAATTGCTTTTTTTTCAAAAATTTGCTAGTTTTAGGCACTTGAACGTTGTATTTTTGTTTATTTAATTTACAATTTTTCATTGAAATTTGAGTTTAAAAATTTTGAAAAACTAGGCAATAACCCGGTTTTTTGATATTTTAGAATACAATTTTTCACAATAATTTCTGCAAAGAAAACTACAAAATATAGGTTTTCTACAGTAATCTACAGTAATCTTCGCAAAAAATTTGAAATTTAAAGACATCTCGAAAATGAGCAACAAAGAAATTCGAATTGGCGAGAGGGACGATGCGACGTCTTCATCGACTTCTGGAGACCGTTTGGGAGTGCTGCATCTGGAGAAAAATGAGCAGACGACGAAGAAACTCAAGCGGAAGTTGAGAAAGACGGAAAAGACGAATTTGACACGTGGCAGGCTGAGCCAGGAGGACAAGAAGGCGTTCAAGTGTGTAGTTTGTAGTCTAATGCTGAAAATTCCAGATATTCTTCATTATTTTGTAGTTTGTAGTCTCTGAAAAAACCATTTTTCGATATTTTAAATCTATTTTTGTAGTTTGTAGTCTTTTTTGGGGCAAACCCTTAAAACTATGCGAAAATTCCGATTTTCCCGAATTTTCTGGATGTTTTTGTAGTTTGTAGTCTAGTTTAGTTCGAGAAAAACGCTGAAAATTCCAGAACTTTCTCTTTTTTTCCGATTTTTTTTCCTGATTTTTTTGTAGTTTGTAGTTTTTGGAAATTTGAAAAAAAAAATCAAAGATCAGGCGAAAAACAGAATTTTCGAAAATTTTGAATTTAAATTTTTTTATAAAAAATTGCGAAAAAACTGCGAAAAAATGTTGAAAAATTCAGAAGTTTCTAGTATTTTTTCGATTTTTCAAAATTACTTTTGTAGTTTGTAGTCTGACAGTTGTATAGGGGAAAAATTGACAAATCAGGGGGAAATTCGAGTTTTTCATTAAAAAATAAATAAAAAATTGACCTGAAACATGCGATTTTCCCATTTCTTTTTTGTAGTTTGTAGTCTATCTATTCATTTCCAGATTCGCCGACATCGTTCCAATGAACAGCGACTGGCAGAAGTATTTTCGTGAGCGGCTGAGCAATCATTTCGCGAGTTCGAAAATCGAAAAAACGATTTTGAAAGCAGACTATCATGGAGCACTTCTCACGGTTTGGATGGCTGAAAATTCGACACAGGTGAGCTGAAAATTTTCAAAAAATAATTTGTTTCGAATTTTTTAGGTAATGACCTAATTTTATCTAGGTCATGACCTAGTTTTTTCAATGTCATGACCTAATTTTTCTAGGTCATGACCTAGTTTTTTCAATGTCATGACCTAATTTTTCTAGGTCATGACCTAGTTTTTTCTAAGTCATGACCTAATTTTATCTAGGTCTTTGAATTTTCTAGGCCATGATTTAATTTCTGGAATTTTCTAGATCATGACCTAGTTTTTTCTAGGTCATGACCTAATTTTTTCTATGTCATGACCTAGTTTTTTCTAGATCATGACCTAGTTTTTTCTAGGTCACGACCTAGTTTTTTCTAGGTCATGACCTAATTTTTTCAATGTTATGACCTAGTTTTTTCTAGGCCATGACCTAATTTTTTCTATGTCATGACCTAGTTTTTTCTAGGTCATGACCTAGTTTTTTCTAGGTCACGACCTAATTTTTTGGGATTTTTTAGGCCATGACCTAGTTTTTTTCTGAATTTCGAAATTTCAAATTATTGAAAAAAATTTTAAGAATTTGAACATTTCAGATCGGTATCAGTGGAATCGTCGTGCTGGAGACGCGTCACACATTTCAAATGGTCACCCAGGACGATCGATTTGTTGGTGAGTGAAAAAGAGCGACTACAAAAACTACAAAGACTACAAACTACACTTTCCTGAAAATTTTTGCTATTCTGGAATTTTTTGAAAAATTTGAAAATTTGAATTTTTCGAGTTTTTGAAATTTTTAGAAGTTGGAAAATTTTTTCTGAATTTGTGAAAATTTTCGAATTTTTTCCAACTTTTGAACTGCCAAACGTGTAGTTTGTAGTCTGGATACTGTATTTGATTTTTCCAGTACCTTAAGGCTTTTGAATTACTGTAGAATTATAATATTTGGGTTTTAACGAATTGGATTGATTTCGACCGTCATAATCAGTCAATTTCAAATTGGTCAACTACAAAAACTAGAAAGACTACAAACATAATTTTAAGAAAAACCTTTGGCTTTTAAGAAAAATCTTTTTTAGAAAAATCTTAAGTAAAATTTTAAGAAAATTTTAAGAAAAATCTTTGGCGCTAAGGCTAAGGCTACAAACTAATTTCCCAAACTACAAAGACTACAAACTACACTTTTCAGTAATTCCCAAAAAAGGCAGCGTATTCCGTTTCATTCTCGGCGACCGGCTATTCTCACTGTTTGGCGATGGAATGCGTACTCGACCGGCATGGAGAGGCAAAAAGCCACGTGTCAAACGAGTGATTCCCACTTTTATTCGAGGAACACTTCATACCGTTCCAACGGCTTCGGAATAACTTTTTTCGAATTTTTTGAGCCATTTTTGACCATTTTTGAGCTTTTTGGAGCTCTTTTTTGCTCAATTTAAGCCATTTCGAGCCAATTTTGACTATTTTTTTTGTTGATTTTTCATTGCTTTTAAAGGATTTTTTGTAATTTTTCGGAGCATTTTTGAGACATTTTCTGTTGATTTTTCATTGTTTTTGACCCATAAATATACAATTTTATTTCTCAAAAATTCGAAATATTAGAACAACAAGAGATCCGGAGATCAAAGACATTAGTTAGCAAAGTTTGAAAGACAATGAAAGCTTGACGTGTTAGAGTGGACAGGTATCCGAAAATGCGCCAGCAAGGCGCATTTCTCGAGATGTGAAAAAACTTCTGGCAGGGGTAAAGCTGGATGTTGTGTTAGAGAAATAGAAGGGGGCGGAGCCTATTTGAGGGAAAGGGGCGGAGCCTAAAAAAGGTAACTAATACATAGGCTTATTGACAGTGACGATGGTTGGTTGATGGATCTGACGAGGCTCTGAGTCGTTGTCTTCGCGCTCGGCGTGGATGTGCTCCTGGAATTTTGGAATTTTGAATTTTCACATTTTTTGGATGTTTTGATTTTAAATTTTTTTTTTTGGAAAATCTGAAAATGCATGAAAAACTATTCCGGACTGTCAAAGTTTGAGCTCTCTAGCTCAGCTGGAAGCCGAGATACAGCTATTTATAGTTTAGGCATGAGAGACGCAGACAGTAAGAGTGTCTCGTTGTCTGCGTCTTTCGCATTCCAAACTTCAAATGGCCGTATCTCGGCCCACAGACGTCCTGGGGACTTCTAATTTTCACTATTTTGGTTGAAATTTGTTCTGTTTTTCGGGTATTGCATTTGGAAAAATTTTTTTGTTTTTTGATTTTCGATTTTCGAATTTTTTCACCATTTTTTGTCTGCTTGGAAATATGTGAAAAAATTACATGAAACTGTTCGACTTTCATCTTCCTAGCTCATCTGGAAGCCGAGATACAGCCATTTATAGTTTAGCATACTTGCGACGGGCCGGGCCTTCAAAAAGTTTGTCAAGGCCCGGCCCGGGAGGTCCGGAAGGCCCGGACAGTTGGCGCCAGCTTCGATTTTCAGGCAAAAAAGCATTTTGTTGAGAAAAAAGTTGTTTTTATGATCTAATTTTAAGCTATTGTCGGAATAAAAAAAGTGAGACTCGGTGTTTGCGTACTTTGATTCCCGCCTCTCCCCACCGACGCTCCGCCCATCGCTTTGCAAGTGCGGCGTGGTGTTTTGGCGCCCCACTTGGAGATCATATTTTCTATGAAAATCTCATTAAATCCGATGATCTCCCACGTGGCGCTAAAACACCACGCCGCACTTGCAAAGTGATGGGCGGAGCGTCGGTGGGGAGAGGCGGGAATCAAAGTACGCAAACACCGAGTCTCACTTTTTTTATTCCGACAATAAATAGTAAATATTGAACTTGTAAATGGTCAAAAAATAATTTTTTTCTGTCATTTTTTCGGAAGTGAGATCGGACGGAAAATTGCATTTTTGAAGCAAAATAACTGTTTTTTTTCCCAAAAACTAATTTTTTTGCTAAAAAATTCTCAAAAATTTATCAAAAAAAAAACTTTTTTTTAAATTTTGACCAAAAAATACCCATCCGAGTCTTCCGGGCCGGGCCGGGCCTTCAACGATTTTCGCAAGTATGTAGTTTACGCATGAGAGACGCAGACAATTACAGTGTCTCGTTGTCTGCGTCTCTCAAATCTTGAAAGCGCTGTATCTCGGCTCCTGGGTGAGCTAGAAACTTGAAAATTTTCACAATTTAAAGCAAAATTCTCAATTTTCAGCTCCTTCTGAATTTCCAATTTTCTGGAAATTTCGAAAACTGCAAAAACTACAAAACCCACAATAAAATGAATTCCAACATGTGCTTGCCATGCGTTGAACAGCATGAAAACCGTCAAAAATGTGTACATTGCCAGCGATTGCAAATAGAAGGCTGCGTTCTTGTCGTTGTGCATGGCTGGAAGAAAAAAAATCGATAATCAACTTATTCATTTTTCCAAAAACTCACTGTCAAACATCCAATTGGAGATCATCAGAATATAGAATGGTTTGAAGAAGAAATAGAAGCTGAAGATGAGAAGAGCATAGCAGGAAAGGATGACGTGGAACATCTGAAGGTTTTGTAGTTTTTGTAGTTTATAGGAATTCGAATTCTACATTTTTTGAAATTCTAAATGTTGAAAATTTCGTGTTTCTAGCTCATCTGAGAGCCGAGTTACAACGCTTTGAAGTTTTTAGAGACGCAGACAACGAGACACTCTAGCTGTCTGCGTCTCTCACGTGCAAATCTTCAAAGCCATGTATCTCGGCTCCCAGAAGAGCTGGAAAGCTCAAATTCACACAGATTTGGCTAGTTTTTCATGTATTTTCAGATTTTTTTTGCAAAATTTTGAACGTAGTAGAAAATTTACTTACCGAAATTGCCACCACTGGCCACACGAATCGATGTCTCTTTGAGACTATAGCAATTACAGTAAGAACGGATACTGTAGTTGGGACCAGAAGTACAAACATTGCTTTTTTGAATTTCAGATACAGTAATCCAACGAGCAGCAGGATGACGACCATTCCGATGGCGGCGATCGCTTTCATTGTGTGCTGAAATTTCGAAATTTCGATTTTTGAATTTTTGAATTTCTGAATTTCTGAATTTCTGAATTTCTGAATTTCTGAATTTCTGAATTCCTGAATTTCTGATTTTTATGTTTTGTGTTTAGAATTTTCAAAAAAAAATTGTGATTGTCGAATTCCGGAATCACTTTGAATTTCCGAATTTTGAAATTTAGAAACTTTTAGCATAGTCCAATAACAGGATTTTTTTTTTCGCATTTCTGTGAAAAAACCGAATTTCTAGCTGCTCTAGAAGTCTAGATACACCACCAGCTTAAAGTTTTGGAAGTGAGAGAGTGAGGAGGGCGCAGACGACTAGACACTCTAGCTGTCTGCGCTCTCCCTCCATCTCCTGCTATTTCGCATGCAAATTTCAAAACGCCATAACTCAGCTGAAAATAGAGCTAGAAATCTGCACTTTTCGGGAGAGACAGGCCAGTTTCAGACCGTTGACTAACGTTAAACCTTACATTGATGTGAAGTTTTCCAAAAACAAATTTCGGCGTTGTTTGAGTTTGACCATACGGACGCTTCTCACGCATTTGAGAAGACGATGAGTCTTGTATCATCACCATGGTGCTTCTTTGGCTGAAATTGTATTTATTTCGGAATAAAAAACTTTAAAATTGACCTCAGATGTCTCACGTAGACATCTGAATCAGATAGACGTCTTCAAAAAAAAAAGAGAAAAAAATAGATATTACACTGTCTACAGGCGTATCCGTCCACTTTTTTATTGGCCCACATATCATCAAACTAACACATAAAAATGATATGCAAACTGATGAAAAAAATTGAAGTGATAAGAAGGAAATGACATTGAAAATAAGATTACGGTAGATATTATCTGTGTAGACCCTGGTTACTGAAAAAAAAAACTTTAAATCGCAGAAATTGAGCTCAAAGCGCATGCATGAGATACGATACGCGAAATTCCAGAAACTCTTGGAATTTCGAAATTCTGTATGTAATCAGAAAACTGAATATTATCTTCACATTTTTTGTGGAAAAGCCGAATTTCTAGCTGCTCTAGGAGCCGAGATGCGCTAGTTCAAAGTTTTGAAGGTGAGAGAGTGAGGAGGGCGCAGACGACTAGACACTCTACCTGCCTGCGCTCTCTTCTCTTCCTTTGCTATCTCGCTTGAAATTTCAAAGCACCGTAATTCAGCTTTAAATAGGGAGAATGGCAAAAATGTTATGCCTATAGCTCACCTGGGAGCTGAGATACGGCGCTTCGAAGATTTGAGAGACGCAGACAACGAGACACTCTAACTGTCTGCGTCTTTCACCTCAAACTCTTCTAAGCGCTTTATCTCGGCTCGCACAAGAGCTAGAAAGCTCAAATTTAGACATTTTTGATTAGTATTTCAAGTATTTTCAGATTTTGCATTAACTTTTTCAAAGTCTGTGAAAGTTTCTTGATGTTTCTTTGAGACTATAGCAGTAACAGTAAAAAAACATGAACGTCCAAAATTTTAACCCTCACAAAGCAAATGACCATGTCGAAAAGGGAAGAATCTGGCCTTTTTTCTTTTCCAAAAATAATCAAGAATCGGAATCTTGCCGCGTCAAGTGCCTTTGAGGAGGAAAACCGAATGAAAATGCAATTTCCGATGAATATCGACATCGGAATATTCTAATCTTCAACATTCATCTTTCTATGAAGCTTCTCCCAATCAGGCTCCGCCCACTTTTCCGTAGATTACTTTTTAATGCAAAATGAAACAGGCTGGCGGTGGAGATCAAAGGGAAAAAATGATGGGCGGTATTGAAAAAAAAAGAGATATGATTGCGCATATCAATCATTCATCTTATCAATAAAAGAATATGCAAAGAATTATGGCAATTGAAGAAGCGGAGATCAGAAGGAATGGACATACCGACAAACAGATACGCAGATTTTCAAAAACCGTGTTTTCTCTGATAGAAACTAGCAACTTTGAGCTCGATTATCTCGATTCCTGTTAAAGATATCAAAAACTTGTCAATTGATGACCTAGTTATCATAACATCACCAATATTTTATCAGTCGACAGCTTTTTGATATCTTCAATAGAAATCGAGATAATCGAGCTCAAAGTTGACGGTTCGGGTGGCCTTCTATTAGAGGGAATACGGGTTTTTCTTCGAAAAATCGGATTTTTAGCAAGCTAGAAAATGTGTAATATCTAGATAGGATCTTTTCGATTTTTTGAGATTATAAAGTTGATTGGAGTGGAACCTTCTTTTGGAAATCTTGAGTAAGATGGACTAGTTTCTGAAATTCTAGGTCATACTAACCAATTAAAACGTTCTTGTGGGAAATTATTGAAATAGGGACGAGTTTTAGAAATTCCAGGTCACACTAGGCAATTCACAAGAATTAAAAAGATTAGAATCTCTGAAAGATGCTGAAACAGAGTTTTCTTAGAAAAATACGTGTAAAAATGAAGAGAAATACATAATGTATATCTAGTTTAATGAAGGACGAAAAATGGTGGCCTAACTTTTCTCGAGGTGGCCTAACTTTTCCATACCTCTGAATTTTTCAATAAGTCAACTAGCGCTGTTTTCAGCTTGGCTACATTGCTTGGAAAATTTCGAGCGAGACAGCAGAGGATAAGAGAGACCGCAGACAACTAGAGTTTCTAGCTGTCTGCGCTCTCCTCACTCTCTCACCTACAAAACTTCAAATTAGTGTAGCTCGGCTCCTAGAGCAGCTAGAAATTTGATTTTTTCTCAAAAATGTAGAGAAAATATTCAATTTTTTACTAAATCCAATATTGTCAATTTTCTGAAATTTTTAAAACCTTCAAAGTATTGTATTTCCTGTAATAGATCGCCAATTCCTATCTACTTGACGTTTGAGCTCAAATATCTCGACTCCTATAGAAGATATCAAAATTTTGTTAGTTGATAAAATGTTTGTCATAATATAATCAGCATTTTTGTAGATTCAAAATTTTGCTATCTTTCACAGGAGTCCAGATAAATAATATGAAAGGGACCAAGTACGCCTTGGCGCGGAAGAGAGGGGACCTCAAGAAAGCTTGGTTATTTAAGCTCAATTATCTCGGTTCCTACAAAATGTATCAAAATTTGGTCAACTAATAAAATTTTTATTATAATATCACCAACATTTTTGTAGTTTACGTAGTTTCGATATCTTTTACAGTAACCGAGATTTTCTAGCTCAAAGATAGCGCTCTTTCTCACGCATCTAATTTCTAGTCCACTAAAATCAATCTCCTTTTGATGTCCTGAAAAACCGTTTTAAGCCCTATTTCATCTGCCCGTCTTGTTCACAGACATAACGGGCATTAGAAAAGAAAAAGGACTAGTTTTATGCCGGCGCGTCTCTCTAATCCGTAATTGGATTTTCTGTGAGAGGGACTCTAAATTGGACGAGTTTTGATCTACTTCTTGTCTTACGGGGTATTACAGACACGTGCTGTTGTGTTATGTCATCAAAGAAGGATATACAGACACACAGACAGACGGAGTGATAAAAAGTGAGAGTGGGTAATTAAGGAGGGGCAATTAAAAATGTATTTGTGTGAAATTTGGAATGAGGCAGAATTAGAGATGGTTTTAAAAGGTGAGAAGAAGAAAACGGGCATATCTTTAGACACATGTATCTTGAAAACACGAAAATTTGTAGAAATATAAATTCATATTTGATTTAAAGCTACTGAAATTTCCAAAGCGATTCTGCAAGTCTAAGTGTTGTTATGATTGTCCAAATGTTCATGCCCACCGTTGTAATTCTTATAAGGTGGTGCAACTTTGGCATGCGATAACTCAGCTCAAAATGTTTCAAATAGTTTCAAACTTCGCCATTTTACTGATGAATTGTTTAAGTTTTTGCATTCCGAATTTGAGTTCAGTACAATGCTTTACACGAATTTTATGTTAGTACAAAGTTGAGTAATTATACGCCACCCTATAAGATAGCCATTGGGCAAAGTGAGTGAGACTGTGACTTATTAGGGTATAAATTGAAGGCATGTTTTGAACGTTTCATGGCAAAACAAAACGTTTCTAGAAGTCAAAAAGCATAAAAACGATCAATATGAAAAAAAAACTGTCCCAGTAGGCTAGAATGAAGTTTCACAATCAGAAGATCTTTGAGTTTTTATTGGGTCAACCTTGAGCTCAATTATCTCGATTTCTGTGAGAGCTATCAAAAATTTATCAACAAATCAAATGATGATGGAATTATGATGAATAAGTTATTAGTTGACAACTTTTTGATATCTTTCACCGGAATCGAGATAATCAAATTCTAACTAAGCCATTTTTCGGTAGGTTGCGACCGCGTAGCTTGACCTATCTCTGAACTTTGAAGCCATATATCTAATTTCATGTAAAAAATATCAAAAGTTTGTTAACTGATAAATTAATTATCATAATATCAACAACATTTTATCAGTTAACTACTTCTTGATACCTTTTACAGGAACCGAGATATAAAACCTCAAAGTTGACAGTATCTCGCCGAGAAAAGTTTTGAAAGTTTTCCTGTAAAGTTTACAACTTTCTATGCTAATCCGATCACAAGAAAAGGAAGAATATCTGAACGCGTTCACAATAGAAGATTCTCGAGAAAAAAGTGAAATCGTTTTGCCTATTGTTATCCCCCCAAGGGGTGGCCTTTTGTCACCTTCTCACCTAAACGAGATTAGAATTTTTACACCCAAAAAAATAATCGAGAATGTGTTAAGCTAAGGTCGTTGTGTGTAAGAAATAGAGGCTAACAGAAATCTTACAGTTTATTTTTGCAAAAAAAAACCTGTTCAGCCAATTACGTCACCAAAAAGCTTCTTGGTCTCCAGAGGCTTCCGGTTCAAAGGAGAGAAAACAAACTTTCAACTTTGAGCTTAATTATCTCGATTTCTGTCAAAGTTATCAAGATATTGTCAAATGATACATTATTCATCATGATATCACCAACTTTTTATTAGTTGTCACATTTTTTATATCTTGTGAAGGAACCAAGATAATTGAGCTCAAAGTTGACGGTCAAGGAGCAACCTTATACATATAATAGGACCCTTAACTATGAGATAATTTATCTCGGTTCCTGTTGCAGATGTTCAAAAGTGGTCAACTATTAAAATGTTCAGCATAATATCATAAACATTTTATCAATTGACAGATTTTTGACCTCTTTCTTAGGAACCTAGATAATTGAGCTCAAAGTGCAGGTATAGGTCGAGCTATACCAAACGCTGGCTTAGAGCTTGATTATCTCGGTTCCCATAAGAGTTATCAAAAAATGGCTAATCGTTATACTGTTTATCATAATATCACAAACATTTGATAGGTTAATACACTTTTGATATGTTTCAGAGGAACTGAGAAAAATTAGCTCAAAGTTGACAGCTTCTATTACAGGTGTATGGTAGTTTCAAACACCGTATCTCGCTTGGATGAATTTTTTCAGAAAAGTCAACAACTACAAAAATGAAGCTCTTTTTTTGTTTTATGAAATTCACCAGTTTCAGAATAAATAAGACTTTCATGAGACTATCTTAACTGTGACTGAATCTGACTTGGTCAAAATAAAATAGTAACATCTGGCTAAACAGAGGCGGAATAAAGATATCTACATATATACATCCACAACAACAAGAAAAAAGGCATTTGGATGGTAATGAAAAAAGAGAAAGATGAAGAAAACAAGTTACTAACTAACTAACCACAAATGGCTATAGACGGTTTAAAGTAGCAAATTTGCAGAAGGAAATTTCTGGGATTCTACCGGGACTAGACAAATAAAATATAGACTTTCAGAATTCCCATTTTCAGGCTTTCGAATGATACCCAAGTCGGGTCGTAACTAAGATATTTATCTGATTTATACAGGCTTCAAAACTTGACACATAAAATTTCGAAAAAAAAACATTTTTTGAAGTGCCTAAAACACTCGAGAAAAGTTGCCTTTTCACCACAAAAGAACTGCTTTTGACCGTCTCGGTGACGATTCGACGATTTAGTCTGTATTCCGGGAAAATGAGGATAAATGGAATGAAGAGGGCGTATATGCAAATCGCAAAAGATGCTATCCGCGCGCCCCCAAAGGATTATATGAGGTGGAAACTTACAAACCTCCAAGATTCGTTCCCTACTTGCTTTATGAGGTGTGGAAAGGTGAATATCCGGGTATATCCACATCCTAAAAAAAGAAAAAAAGATTTGACCCAGGCAGGGATCGAACCTGCAATCTTCTGATTAGAAGTCAGACGCCTTATCCATTAGGCCACAAGGCCACGAGAGACTAGAGGTGGTGAGGGCGTACAAGTGTGTGTGTGTGTGCACTAGGCGGTGGCCGGCGCAGCCGACTGGCAGGAGATGAGTCATGTGGTGTGTGTTATTTTTTGTGGATTTTTTTTCAAAGAAGAGAAAAAAGAAAAAGGGAGAACCAAGAAGGAAGAAGATGAAACCAATTGTAAATAGTCACTGAATAGTGAAAGCTTTTTTTCTACGTCATATAAGGGGGGTTGAAGGGCTAAAAGTGCTTGTTTTATGACTATCAAAAGATACTTGACAATAAAAAAGAAGAAGAAGAACAGAGAAAAAGGAAAGAAGAAGGTAAAATTCTTTGGCTTTTTACCAATTTTTATTGGGCTAGTCAGGGAGGTGAGATAATTGTGACGGCTTTGGCAAATTGGTGGGAAAATTGTTTAAATTTAAAATTTTCAGTTTTTAAGGAAATTTTATGTTTAAACTGCATTCTTTGAGCTGTTTATCGAGAAAAATCACGAAAAAAATACATTTGAAAATTAATATAAACGAACAATTTGCTGCCTGCGCCTTTGAATATTACAGTAACCTGAGAAAAAAAAATCGTTTTACGGTAAAAATAACTGTTTAAAAGCTGAAAATACGTATTTTATTTAATTATTAACGTTATTGCAGCAAAAAATAGAAGAAAAATAACCAGAAAACCATTAAACCAAAATTTTCAGAAAAATTGAAAAATTTTTGAGTTATGTGCCTTTAAAGTCTACAGTAACTCGAAAATATAACTTCCATTGGTTTTTCGGCGAGAAAAAGGTTTAAAATGTTGAGAAAAGCTATAATTACGCCATTTAATGAGTTCAATAGTTCTATTTCCGCAAAAAGTTTCAGAAAAATCATTAAAAAAAGCTTTAAACCAGAGTTTCCGGGAACATTACGAAGAATGCATCTTCAAATACTACAGTAACCGTTTTTCGTTTGTAATTGAGTTTTCACTGAAAAAGTAACAATTTCTTAGAATTTTGCAATTATTTTGTCTGAAAAAAACCCGAAAGTTTTTGTTTTTTGAGTTACGAAATGTGCTCGAGCGCAAAATGTAAATACCGTAGTAAAAACTAGCCTTAATCTCGAGAAGAATGGAAAAACCCGGGAAAAAAAACTATATTCAAAAAATGACCCAGGAAAAACCACAACAATTCATAAATGCAAATCTCGATGATGACACAAAAACAGTTTCTAGCTACGCAGCGCGGCAAAACAGAAAGACGATTCGAAAGCTAACGGGATAAAAATGTACAAGAAAGGGAAAGGGAAGAGAGGAAAGGCCTGTGTGTTATCTTCTTCATTCCGATGGAAGAACCTGATGAATCTGTAGAGAAGACGTCAATTGGAGACGCAGACGTCTGGCGAGAAGAAGAAGCTGATATGATCAATTAGGGGATGTTGTCACTTTGGAGATGGATATGGGAATGTTAGACATTTCGGAAACAATTGTCCCGACCTTGTGATGATCACACTAAAAATATATGCCGTATGACATTATTGTTTTACAGTTTTCTCAGTTTCTGTAAGAGATATCAAATATCTGTCAACCATGAAAATGTAGGTGGCATTATGGCAAACATTTTATCAGTTGACCACTTCTCGATTTCTTTTACACGAATCGAGATAATTGAGCTCAAAGTGAAGTAGGTCTCTCTCCGTACACTCTAACCTTCCTTTGCACATCCCTCTCCCTATCTCTTCTCTTTTCTTTCTCACCTCCCCCACATATACTTCCTCCCTCCCAACTGTCTCTTGTCAGCAGCGTGGCGCAGTGGAAGCGTGCTGGGCCCATAACCCAGAGGTCGGTGGATCGAAACCACTCGCTGCTAGAATCTTTTTTTTAATCTTTTTTATAGGTCACCTAAAGGATAGGGGTATCCTCTGAAGCTTATTTTGAATGAATTTTACCTGGAAGCATGCTCCTTGAACTATAAATAAACCATTTCCTCGGTGTATCTGCTCCATAGATATTTTCTTATCCCACACTTTCAATCTCAATATCTTCTCCTTCACAAATTTCCGATACTTCGGATTGCTCAAAATCATCACGGCGCAAGAACACATCGAGTGAGATCCCACAAGGAACATTGTGTCCATTGCCAGCTCTGAAAATTTTTAGGAGTTTGTAGTTTTTTTAGTCTAGACCACAAACCTTGCAGTCCGATTGCTCCTGTAACCACAACAAACATACAAACAGATAAAGGTACAACTATCAACATTCCAGGTATGAGCAATTGCATTAATAAACTGAAAAGTGCCGTTTTGTGTATTTGGTACATTTGGCGGGACATCGATTTTTGGTGTTTTTGAAGAATCACCATCGTGTCAACTCCCAGTGTTAAACCGTATCTGAAATTTTGTAGTTTGTAGTTTTTGTAGTTTGTAGTCTTCTTACGTATAAACAATTACCACAAAGCAATCGGCTCCTATCCCAACTACCGCTAACCAAGAATTCAATTTATAATCATAAACTTCAAATGCATCTAATTTCAACCAATTTAGACATTGCGGCCAGTTTTGGAAGAGTTTTGGGTTACTGTAGAGGGATCACTGTAGTTACTAACAATTGTCAAATAGTCTTGCTTTTGCTGGTAGGTCAATTTCGACTTCCACATTGCAAATGACGTGGCAAATGGGAAAATGTGGGTCAATAATATACATCCCTTTTTCAAGAAACGATTGGGGGGATTTGTCTAAAAATTTTGAATTTTTTACAGTTAAAAAATGTTTACGAACTCGATTAATGGTTTGCGCTGAATTATGTCGAAAAATAAAACAAAGAAGGAATTTCAAATGCCAAAATAAATGTGTAAATTGTCATGCTTAAAGGTGGGGGACAGGAGATTTTTCGTAGTTTTTTTGTAGCTAGACTATGCATTCTACCGTCACGGTGTACAACGCTTAATGTCACTCTGCGTACATCTGTCGTCCTCGCCTTTATGTATGCAATCGGGCGTGCGCTTTCTCTTTGCCCGCGTGGCTCAGTCGGTAGCGGCGCCGCACCCTCAATCATCGCCCTCACAAGTTCAACTCCTCGAGGGGCATCTTTGAACGGAATTTCGAGAACATTATTTTTTTCATGTCCCCCCACCTTTAAATGAGGACTGGTAATTTCAGCACCTGTATTGTATCCAGCAATTAGTGGGAAGAAATAATAGCCGGGACAAAAAAGGGACATGTGACACTTGGTGAGAAAACTGGCGAGCTGCAAAAAAACTCGGTTTGAAGGTACAGGGAGGTCATATATGAGGCAAATGTGAAATTCTTATTTTTCCGAATTTCGAAACTTCTCGTTGTCTGATTTTTTGTTTAGTTGTTGTAAACTCCCTAGGTCTGAAATTTGAGATAATTTATCTCGGTTCCTACGAAAAATATCAAAAATCTGTAAACTGATAAAATGTTGGTGATATTATGATAAATTTTATTTTATCAGTTGCCAAATTTTCGATAACTCTCACAGAAATTGAAATAATTCAGCTCAAAATGCACGAAGCGTTCTATTAGAAGAGGTATTATATTTTGGGAAATCAAGAATTCCGAGAATCAGAGAAAAATTCAAAAAAAAATCAGAAGTATCCGAAGAATCAAAAATTATATTTTTAAGATTCTGAGATTGTGATTGTGAGATTTAGCGAATTCTCAGATTTACAGAAAACTCTAAAATTGTGAAATTTTGAGATTCTGTAATTCCGAAAGTCTGATATTCAATCATGAAAATTCAGAGCCCTTCCTGTACCTGTAAATAACACAAACAATACTTGTAACCCTTCATTTTCGGAGATTGAAACCAATTTAAATAGAAGCTGATCAAATTAACAGGAATCGAAGCGATTGCAATTGTATGTAAAACAACAGTATAGTAAGTAGGAATAATTCCGGATAAGGAGGTCCAAACGCCATTTTTTGAACAAAAATTGGTAAAAGAGTGACATGGTATTTTTTTTTTGGTAGATTTACATGCGGAAGTTATTCAATTTTGGTGAGAAAAATGAAATTATTAAATGGTTACGTACATAGATATGACATGTGTCTAGGAGCAAAGAACGAGACATTTTGGGTGAAAATACTGAAAATGCACATTTTTGTGAGCTTTCAAAAGTTTGGAGAAAGTTAGACACATCAAATTTATGTTCCTCCATAAGCCTGACAATTTTAGATGGTACAAATAGGAAACAGGAAAAAATATTAATTTAGAGAGATTTGCCTGAACATTAAATTTTTGAAGTCCTGAAAATAATAGAATTCCATCCAGCCCCTTACTGTAGATGATCTCATGAAGTTCAATTGCAAACAAGTATTTACAATGGGCGGCAAGATTCCTCTTTACACTTTGCATCCATTCATTCAGAAATTCCTGAGAAGTGATCGAATGGAAACAGTGCTATTCGAAGAATGCAGGTGTCAATTTAACGATTTTCCTATTCAAAACATTCTTCGAGAAATACCGTATACATCAGCGTGTCAGATTTTCGTCCATGTGAGTTTTTCAGAAAATAGTCAAGTTAGTCCTGAAAATGTAGTCCAGAATTTTGTAATTTGACTGAAAATTTCAGAATATACCAAACAACAAATCCAACAAAACGAGATAAGCGGTTCTAAAGTGCACAGGTAAAATGCGAACGGATCCGTTCCGGTGTCCACTAGGTTTTCTATCCGTAACGGGTCCGTTACGGGCAGTTTCGCGAATCTGAGTTCGCGAACGGATCCGTTTTTTCAACATTCGCAATCGGACAGGATACAGATGCAGCTGGAGGTCGAGAGATAGCTCCCATGCCCATTCGCGAACGGATCCGTTCCGGATGGCCGAGTTGTGAGGGACTAGCTTTCTCTTAACTCTTCCATCATCATTTTGCATCTTTTTTTTTGTATTTTTAATCTATTTTTGCCGTTTTTTCCAACTTCTCTCGGCAATTGAGTCAATTTCTGTCTATCAAAGTTTTCGAAAGGCGATTCTACGATGAAAAAAAGTTTGTAACACAAAAGTAATTCTTCGAAACATAGGGTTTGTTATAGGTATCACTTAACCTCTCCGTGAGCAAAAGGAACAAAAAATATTGATTTGATGCTCACTTTTGCAAAAAGCAAGTTGCTAGCTTAAAGGGGGACTCCGACCAAAAATTTTTATTGCGTTAAAATGTGTTAAAAGCAGGGTTGCAATCTGACGGGCTGGCCGGCCCGAGGGAAAAAAAACCAGGGCCCGGCCCGGTCCGGCCGGCCGGCAATTAATTAATATTTGAACGCGCGCCATTTTTATTATCTCTCCGAGTACTACGATCCTTCAACGAACGAATCGGTTGAGGAGTATTGGAAAAGAAAAAGATTCGAATACCCCGGACTGTACTCAGCAGCACTTTTCGTTTTTTCGATTGTTCCCAGTGAAGCCATGTGTGAGACTACGTTCAGCACTGCGTCGTTTTTGTTAGATAAAACAAGAACAAGATTACTGTACAAGCGTGTGGAGATGGTCGTTCGGGGTTCGCAAATAGCCACGAAATTTCCACACTGGCTCGACTGATTCTCTCACTAATTGTTGTGATTTTTCTAGTTAATTTTATGTTACTTTTCTATCTTTTTTGTTGGATTGGTTGATATGAGCTTTAATTTTCTCCCCCGGTTTCCATTTCTTTGTTTCCCCTTGTTCATTTATACGGTTTTTACATTGTTATGCTACTTGTTAAGAAATAAATTCAAATAATTCTTCAATAATTTCTGTTTTTTCTTAAATTCGAACGGGACGAACCGGCCGAACCGGCCGGGCTGGCCGGGGCTTCCGGCCGGGGCTTCCGGCCGGGCCGGGCCGGGCCGGAGAAAAAATAATCTCGGTCCGGCCCGGCCGGTTGCAACCCTGGTTAAAAGTTATCTATTTTCCGAATATTATTGCGAAAAAATTCAAAAAAAATCCGAAATCCCCGAAAAACGGCGTTGAAAAGGAAGAAAATTCAAAAAAGGTGTCGCCGGGGGACGAGGATTTTCAGTGAGAAACCTAGGCCACGGCACCCGACA